GGGCCCTGCCTACTTCAGGCGGGAAGGGGCTGTCCTGGGGATGCCGCCTGAGAGGCACCCCTCACTGGCGCCTCTCGACTGGCGAAAGGAGTCCCCAGCCGCCCTCGCTCGCACGGCCTCAATTAACCCGCATCCCCACTTTCTCCGAGGCCAGCAGCTCCCTGGGCGGGTACTGGGAGAACTCTCCGCCCTAAACTCCTTTCTGGGCAGAGCAGGGCGGGAATCATCACACACACACCCTCTAAACATTGGTCCTGGGAAGGGGTCGGAGCCCCTCAACGGGTGATGGCTCCGCCCAAACCCTGTTCCTCCACTGTCTGGAGACCGAAGTGTTTACCTACCTCTCCCACGCCCCCCACAAGTGGCGCTTAGGAACTGTTGAGTCACCCATCATCACTTATCCTCTAAGCCCGCTCTTGGGTTCCTGGGGCCAAGCGGCTGTCACAATCCTCCCACAGACAGTCTCAGCCTTCTTCTCCTGGCTCCCTGAAGGCTGGGGCGGGGAAGACTGCGGATTTGCCCAGACAGCTGGGGTGACCCTCTCTCCAAGCCAGTCAGTGTCTGAAGTAGTTGCGGATACGGGCCACTAGGTGTCAGCCTGACCTCACTGTGGCGAGGGTCTCCTTCGCCCTCCAAAGGTGTAAGGCAGTTGCTTTGGGAGGAAAATAGGCAGACCCTGGGCAAAAAAAGAGGCAAGCTGAAAGCCTGTGGAGGAAGTGAAGAGGTGTTTGTGCTGAGGGGTGGAAGCAGAGGGGAAAGTAGAAGTGGGAGCGAGGGAGGGAGGAAAAGCTAGAATCCTGAGGCACAGGGACCCAGGAACCAAACCGTTTGGGTGTTTATTATGTCTCCCCTAATGGCTCCAAGGTTACATATTAACCCCTATGGGACTCCTGGGTCACTCAAGGTCCAGTCGGTTTCCAGGTGAGGACATGATGTCCTGGGTGAGTGGCTTTCCTCCTTTGCTCAGAGGGCAGCTTGTCAGCCAGCTGACATCGGCCTGGGCCATGGATTCCAGGGGCCTTCGGGGGGCTCTTTCAGCGTTCATTTCACATGGGCGAGTTTGGGGTAGTTTCAAGAGGTGGGACGAAGACAGAAGATAAAACACCCCTTTCCCCACATTCCTCGCCCACTCAAAAATAGGGACGCTAACCTTTAGCTAAATAATTACCCTTCTCCTTTGTACTGAGTTTTTATGGAGCTCCCACAAAGCACAGATGCCAGGAAGCTGCTAGGATTATACTCACTTCTGGTTTAGATCTGAAAGACCCTAGCCCAGTTAGCCTAGTTACCTAAGGCCAAGATATGAAACCAAGATACCAGGCAGGCCATAAACAGATTCAGGCACCAGGCATGCTCTCCGGACAACCGGTTGAAGAACAGAGCACCTGCATCATGAGGCATAAATGAATAAACCGGAACAGATAAGCAGGAACAGAAAGAATAGAATGCAGACCTGTGGTTTTTGGAATGCAGACCTGTACCCCCTAGGTGGCCTATATGCTAGATTTAAACAAACCAATAAGAAACCTGTTGCTTCCCGCGCGCGGGAAACCTGTCCCAAACCCTATAAAAATCTCTGTATCCCCAAGTCCAGTGTGCCAGTTCACCAAAGCTCCGGCTGAGGTTCTGCTGGGCACCCGCAGGCGCCTGTGTCCCAATAAACCAACCTCTTGCTTTTGCAGCCAGTGTTTCGTGTGATTCTCCTTGGACAGGGATACGGGGGTCTTTCATTGGACGGGGGTCTTTCAGATCCAGCAGTCCTACTAACCAATCCCCCTACCTCTGGGCAGAAGCATTGAATCCATCTGTGGGAAACCGGAGGGTCTCCCTCCTTTCCTTCCCTGACGCTTTCGCTTTAGGATAGTGGTCTGCTTCCACTCCCAGCTTCTCCTAAAGAGGAGGGCTAGAGTTTGTGGCTCCGTAGTAGAATGTCCACTTAGCACATGTGAGGCACTGGGTACAATCCTCAGCACCATGTAAAAAATAAAATAAAGATATTGTATCCATTTACAACTAAAAAATGTATTAAAAAACAAACAAACAGAATCTGTGTTCTAGAATATGGGGGGGGGGCGTGTATAAGCATCTAAGACGGATTCCCCTACTGCAGCATCCTGGGTATGAAGCTGGTGGTGGGGAGACTGAAAGTGTGGACTAGCACGTGCTTACTCGTGGCAATAGCCCTAGATGAATCAATTTGCACAGCTTGGCGCGTTCACTGCGAGTCAAACGAGAAACACACAGAACGAGAGCTTGCCCTAGGTTCAGTTCTGGTTATCATTTGCTTGCCAATGAAAATCCTTCTTCTGAAATAGCGTAGTCATGGGAAGCTGGGGACTCAGTCCTCGCTTCCCACCCCATCCGGACTTTAGTGGGCAACTCTTGAGCGTGAGGCATTCCCTCCGGTCTCACAAACTTTGCAAGAGTCCAATGGGGCCATGGGTGTGAGAAGTGGCTGGTATCGTGCTGGCCATTGGGGGACACACTAAGAAATGAGGTATAGCCGTATTTGTTGGGCCCTACGAGTGACAGGGTGAGGGAAAAACGACTTTGTGCGGGTAATACGTTGAAGTTCAACTCAGATGCAAACAGACTTAAACTCTGCTTGCTCCGCCCCGCAAAGGTTTTATAGCGTAAAGGGCGGGGCTCCAGAGTGGGCAGGTCCGCGCACGCGCCTCAAAGGGGTGTTCCGGAAACGGTGTTCTGAGAAATGAGATGGAGAAGTACGAGCGGATCCGAGTGGTGGGCAGAGGTGCCTTCGGGTGAGCCAAGGGTAGAGGGAAGAAAACTGCTGGGGAGTGGGAAAATAAGTCCCAAAACTAACCGCGAAATTGCTACCTGGATAGCTCCGCCTCCTAGGCGTGAGCGACTATCTGGGAAGCCCCGCCCAGGCTTCCGGTCTCAGTCTGGACTTGGAGATCCGTCTTCAATGAGGCCACGCCCACACTCCTAAGCGCTCGGGTGGCATTCTTCTGTTGGTTCCCTTGTACACAGGCTGCATAGGTCTTCAGATTCTGGGCTGTGTGTATATAGATATGACCAAAACTGGACGAGTATCCGGGTGTGATGGCTCACTCCTGTAATCCCAGCGGCTTGGGAGGCTGAGGCAAGAGGATTGCGAGTTCAAAGCAAGCCTTACCCAAAGCGAGGCTGCTAAGCAACTCAGTGAGACCCTATCTCTAAAAAAAATATAAAATAGGGCTGGGGATGCGGCTCAGTGGTTGAGTGCCCCTGAGTTCAATCCCTGGTACCAAAAAAAAAAAAAAAAAAAAAAAAGGACTAGTCTTTTCCCTTTAGGAACTTAGCCCTTTTAATTTTTTATTTTGAGATAGGGTCTCACTCCTTTAACAAGACATTATTAAAGGAGTTATGTTATAGCAGTAATGAAAGGTTATTAAGTAACATGTACAACGGTAGAGAATAATTACTTGGGGTAGCTAGGGAGGAATTCTCTGGGAGATGAGATGTAAAGATAAAGAATGAAGACCAGTACTCTGAAGGAAGAAGATTTTCAGGCAAAGGAAGCAGCATATGCAAAGGTCCTCACATGGAAAGAATTGTTGAGAACAATCAAGAAACAGATGCCAAGCTTGATGGGGAGGCTGAGGTAGGAAGATTGCAAGTTCCAAGGCACTCTTGGCAATTTAGCGAAACCCTGTCTCAAAATTTAAAAAGTTAAAAGGGCTGGGGATGTAGTTCAGTGGCAGAGCACCCTTGGGTTCAATTGCCAGTACCAAAAAAGAAACTGAAAAAAGATTAGTGTAGTTGGAATGTAGTGGGCAAGGTAAAGAATTGTGTAAAATTTGATTGTCATGGAAAGGGGTTTAATTGATTTAGTATAAGGGCAAGGGCAAGAGCGTTTGTTTGTGCTGGAAATTGAACCCAGGGCCTCCAAAGGCCAAACACATGCATTATCACTGAGCTACATAGACACCCAGCCCAAGGAAGAGTTTTTATTTATTTATTTTTATCTGGTACAGGAATTGAACCCAGAGTCACTTAACTACTGAGCCACATCCACATCTCTTATTTTTTGAGATGGTCTCACTAAGTTGTTTAGGGCCTCATTAAATTGCTGAGGTTAGATTTGTGTTTTTTTGTTTGTTTGTTTGTTTTTTAAAGAGAGAGAGAATTTTTTAATATTTATTTTTTAGTTTTCAGCGGACACATCTTTGTATATGGTGCTGAGGATTGAACCTGGGCCTCACGCATGCCAGGCAAGTGTGCTACCGCTTGAGCCACATCCCCAGCCCAACTGAGGTTGGATTTGAACTCACAATCCTCCTGCCTTGGCCTTCCCAAGATGCTGGGATTATAGGTGTGGGCCATAATGCCTGGTCCCCTAACTTCTTCTTCTTCTTCTTCTTTTTTTTTTTTTTTTTTTGGTACCAGGGATTGAATCCAGGGGCGCTTAACCACGGAGCCACATCCCCAGACCTTTTTATAATTTTGAAACATTGTCTTGCTAAGTTCCTGGGGGCCTCATTAAATTGCTGAGGCTGGCTTTGAACTTGCAATCCTCCTACCTCAACCTCCCTAGTTGTTGGGATTACAGTGTGTGCCAGCATGCCCATCTCCCTCACCTCTTTTTTATTTTACTTTATTTTGAGAAAGGGTCTTGCCAAATTGCTGAGGCTAGCCTTGAATTTGGGATCCTCCTGCCTCAGCCTCCTGGAATTGCAAGCACATGTCACAACCAGCCATCAGAGCTTGTTTAAAACCAAAGGCTGGAGATTTAGCTCAGTGTTAGAGTGCTTGCTCAAGGCCTTGGGTTTGATCCCCTGTACTCAATAAAAAAGAAAAAGGAAAACTGTTCAACTGTAAGTGATCCTCCTGCCTCAGCCTTTAGAGTAGCTGGGATTACAGACTGAAGAAAGCCTGCCTTTGTTGTTTGTTTGGTGGGGGTGGGGGGAGTATTGCTGGGGATTGGTCCTAGGGCTTCTTGCTTTTTCATGTGGCAAACACTCTTCCACCACTCAGCTGTATCCCCAGGCTCTGTGTTGGGTGTTTTTTTTTTTTTTTTCTTCTCCAGTACAGGGTACTGCAGATTGAACCCTGGGGCACTCTACTGCTGCTGAGCAACACCCCCCAGCCCTTTTAATTTTTTTTATTTTGAGATAGGGTCTCACTAAATTGCCTAGGCTGACCTGGAACTTTCAGTCCTCCTGAGACTGGGATATGCCCCACACCTGGCTTTTTTTTTTTTTTTTTTTTTAATGAATTTAGGTGTGGTCCTATAGTTAGTCATTGAATGGTATGCAACTTTATTTTGCAGTGGTGAGGATTGAACTCAGGGTCTTGCACATACTATACAAGCACTCCATCACTGAATTTTACTCTCAGCCCCAACATGTCTGATTTTAATAAGTCGGAAATGGTGGTGTCATTTACCCAGATGGAAGAAACAGGTGAAGGAAAGGTTTGGGGACAAGAATCAAGAATTTTGTTTTGTATTTGTTAAAATTTAGGATGTTTGTGAGATATGCAGATAGAGTTGGATATATCAGTCTGGGACTCATAGGAGAGGGAGATAAAAATTTAAGACTTAAGTGATAAGATTACAGTCTATTCATTTACCAAATATCTACAGAACTCCTACTGTGTGCAAAATACTGGGCTATATTTTAGAACAAATTCTTGTTGTACAACAAGAAAAATGTAGTTCCTGAATTTATGGACACTGACAGAGAGTTGAAGTCAAATACTAATATGGTTGGGCATGGTGACTCATGCCTATAATCCCAGGAATTGGGGAGGTTGAGGCAGGAGGATCCGAAGTTCAAGACCAGCCTGGGCAACTTAGGGAGACCTGGCTCAAAGTGAAAAAAAATTAAAAGGGATGGGGTTATAGCTCAGTGATAGAGCATTCCTAGTAGAATA